ACGCTAAATTGAAGGCCTTGTTCGAAGAGGATTCGTGCCAAACTCAAGAAGATCTTGCTTTAGAATTAGGAGTTATCAAGCAATACCCATCAAGCCATTTCCAAGCTATAGCATGCGTCGGGGATGATTTAGAAGCAAGAAACTTCGGTTTCTTGTGAGTTGAAGCCAAGAGACGTCGAGCGTCGTTTTTTCGCCTGTAAACAACTGCTCCAGCGGCGAGAAAAGAAGAGGTTCTTCATCACATCGTGACAGGTGATAAAAAATGAATACATTAAAGCAATCCAAAGACGAGAAAATCTTGGTTCGGCCGAATATTCACTGCGAAGGTTATGCCCTACATATGGTGGGACCAGGTCGGTGTTATTTGTTATGAGCTGTTGAAACCGAGTGAAACCATCACTGGAGAACTGTATCGAACTCAATTGATGCATTTTTTTATAATAAAGTTACATTTTCATCGAAAAAAACAGCGAGAACTTAGTTGCGCACCTAATATCGTAAAATATATCATATATATCGTATCTTGAGAACTAAAGCTCATTGAAAAAAAAACAATGTCATTTTTGAAATCAGCGCCCCAAATATACTTAAAAACAGTATTAGAATCGTTTGCACTAGTGATGGGCGTTGAATCAACGAACGGTTATTTTCAACCGTTTCTTCTTCGTTAACTAACTAACCGTTTCGTCGCAACGAAATAACTAGTTGAAAATCAACTGGTTTCGAAGCAGTTGAAAACATGGCGGCCAGTTAGTTTTTTCATCGACATAGGAATTCGTTCGTTGTCGAAAACGAACGTAGGCAGGTACCTGCGTCGGAAAGGATCAACTAATACTATGAAAATCGCTTATTGTTAGGCTACTGCTTTTATAATATTGCAAATGTACATGTACATCTTAAAAGAAACTTGCAACACGCGCCAAATCGTTTAATTTTAGAAAATCAGTTACATTTATTATAGTTTTCAATGGTTAATATTTTTCATAAAAATCTCATAGCATTTGTCTTGTAATAATTTTTTTAAACTAAACCTGAAAATTGATTTTTTATTTTTCATAACATTTTATATAACTATACATTTTTATATTGCTATTTTTATATAACATGTAAATTCGATGTTTTAGTATATGGCTTTGCTGTAATGAAAATATTTAAGTTTTTTAAATTAAACCTTTATTTATTATATATATATATATATATATATATATATATATATATTAATTGTTTAATATGAACAAAACAGCACTCAGATTTGTTTAACACAACTTTATTTTATGATTACAGACGTTTCGAGACTATGGTGTGTCTCATCTTCAGTGTAATTTCAAAAACAGTTACTTATATACTACACATTCTTTAATAACTTATTTAAATTTCATTTAATTTTTGATATACAAAAAACACCAACTATTCCTTGCAATGCTTGACACAGTACTAAAGAAACACATAACACTTACAGAAATATTCTAAACAAATTTGAAGTACTTATATAGATGGAGACAGAGAGGGTATCATTATAATGTAAACAAAAGGAGTGCTATCGCATACAAAATCGATAAAAATGAAAAAACAAATTAATTTATTGAAAAGAATAAGATAAATGAAAAAATTTATAAATTATTAATGATGTTTATATAAGTGTCATGTAAAATATTTGTGTCGGTTCTTAGATTTATGCTATTGTTAGTCCGAACTATTAACATTGATTCTGCCATGCTCCGTTTAAATAAGTCTTTCTCATGGAATAAAATTTGGGGATTGTCAAAATCAAACTTATGGTTGTTGATATTAGCATGATCCACAAGTGTACTTTTAAATTTTTTGTTATCTATTTTTTCACATTGTAATTCATGTTGCCTAAGTTCTGGCAGGTCTGGCCAATATAAGAGCAATTACAATCCAAACAATTTACTTTATAAACTATATCTTTCTTTTTTGTTAATGGAGTTTCATCTTTAATTTTGGAATATAAAAATTTTAATTGTTTTAATGGAGAAAAAGTAATACGAATATTGTGTTTTTTGAAAAGTCTTTTTGATAATTGGTTAAAATTATTGTCAAGATATGGAAAATTAATGAAAAAAGTTTTTTCAGGAACACTTGTTTTGTCAGGCTCTTCCGGTTTCTTATCAAAAGGTTCAAGTAATTTTGTGACTCTATTTTTAATAATTGGACAAATTAACTTATATGGAAAATTATTGCCAAGTAGGATCGTTTTAACTAATTTTATGTTTGTATCATAAAACAGGGGATCAGATAATAAAATAGCGTGATCTACAAGATTTAGAATGGTAGAAATTTTTATATTGAGAGGAACATGCGAATTAAAATTAATGTATCTCCCGGACCAACTATCTTTTCTGTACCAGTCTGTATAACATACACCGCCTCTATTAATGAGTTTTACGTCAAGAAAATGTAACGTCGAATCATTTTCAAGTTCCTGAGTGAATTGTATATCAAAAATTAAATGAAATTTAAATAAGTTATTAAAGAATGTGTAGTATATAAGTAACTGTTTTTGAAATTACACTGAAGATGAGACACACCATAGTCTCGAAACGTCTGTAATCATAAAATAAAGTTGTGTTAAACAAATCTGAGTGCTGTTTTGTTCATATTAAACAATTAATATTCGTTCCACTCATATCATAAAATTCTATATTATATATATATATATGTGTGTGTGTGTGTGTAATAAATGTGACAATTCACATTTATTTCTTTTTATTCATCAAATCCAACGTCAACTTGACTTTTATAAGAACAAACTTCATATTACCAACTTTCAATGAGCCAGTTATTTCAACTATCAGTTTCTTAACTATAGTTGAAAAATAACTAGTTATTTAACTAGTTGACGAAACCCCGATAACCGTTTCGTTTCGTTGACGGCAAAACCGTCAACGACCCACCTCTAGTTTGCACCATTTTCTTTGTTGACCTGTGTAATCAGTCACGCATACAAAGAAGCCTCGCACATGATACGATGTATTCACAATCACAATCGGCCCGTATAGAACTGATCTCGTCGAGAGCCGTAACGGGCTTCCATTGCATTTTCACAGATTTACTTCCTAGTCGCGCCTAAAGAAGTTTTACTTCAAAAAAAAACAGAAAAACCGTCATCAAATCGATACGCATGCATGCTAGATACAGCGGGTATAATTTTTGGTATAATAATTCACTAAAAATTCTGAAAAAAATCGCTCACGTGATCAATGGTATATTCAGTATATGGCCCCAAGCACAAAACTTATGGTTCAAAATATATTTAAAATAATGAAAGTCTAAATGTCCAAATGTCCAAAATCTGTATTACAAATCTGTCAGTCTTTTTGCAATCTTTTATCAAATATTATTTTCCATCAAAGCACACACTTTTTTATACATGCATTTTCCAAATATGTACACCTTTTTCGTGTTTCTATTACAAAAGTATATAATAAATCTAAAATTATTAATTTAAATTATTGTTGTTGATGATAGTATTTTCCGACTTGTGGAATAGTTTAAATATAGTTTTCGTGTGTGAATGGATTTTTTTAAGGAACCCAGGAATAAATTAGTCGTCTGTAATTTTATTTTTGATTTTGATCAAATGGAATGAGATTGGAATGTTTCTTCTAGTATGCGGATGGTCGGTCAATTGTTTTTATATTTATTATTAAAATGTAGAATTCGGAAATAGATACACAAGACTGTGCTATAACTGTAAATGAAATATTTTTCTACTAAGGGAGAAAGATTGTTGAAGAATTTTATTATTGCAACTTATGGGGCAAATCTGCCGTAACAGAGCGTTGTCATGGCAACATGAAAATGTTTATCTATTTGCCGTATATTTTTACATAAAAACAAGTAAAGAAGAATCTTATGATAAAAGAATCTTTCATGATGCTGGCAGAATTGTCCCATTATTATAGTTATAGTACATGTTGTAGATTTATTATTTTATATCCATACAAAAATACTGCACGTTGTTAAAAAAATCATAAAACTTTAAATTTATTTGCAAAAAAAAATAGTGCGGGAGAAGTGAAACTTCATAAATAAAACTGCAAAAGTTACATTGATAATTTACAATTAATTCAGACATTTTGCAAGGTTTTTAGACCTCTTGAAAAGTTTACAGAAAAGTTCGGAAGTTTTAAAACAACTTTTATCATTTTCAACCAAATGCTTTCTTTTCTATTTACCTTACAAGTTTCACTTCAAGATGTCCCTATAATGTTTTGTTACAAGAGTGTTGTTTTAAGATTTATAGCATATTATAAACAGTTAGTTATATTATTTTCTACTTATCGGTAATGTTTCCTTTTTTTGTTAATCAGTTTGCAAAACTTTCTGCAAAAGTTGTGCCATCAACAATTTGTACATAATTTTAATTCTTTTTGTTTTATATATATATATATATATATATATATATATATATTTGTAGGTTTTAATAGTTATTATAATCTTTAGCGATCAATTTAAAAAAAATGCACACGTAGTGAAATTAAAATAGTTTTATATGAATCATAATGTTTTTTAATAAACAAAGAGCTGAAGAATAGATGATCCACAGCTGGCAAACAATCAGTATGGTTTTCGCACAAGATGATCAATTATTAATGCAAGTTCGTAGTTAATGCAGACAAAAGAGCAATTGCTGGAACCAGATAAAAAGGCGGTGCAAAACAGTACTATCTTGTGAAAAAGTAGTTTAATATATTTTAGGTGACAGTTCTCCAAAAAACTAGTTCATATAGGAGAAAGTTATGAATATTACAAAGAACGGCATGAATTATAAATTATCAGAAATTGAAATATTTTATATAAATAATTTATAAGAATTTATTTTATTTTAGCGTAGCGTTGTGGCATGAAAATATAGATATGTTTCTTAGTTACTCCAAATTGATGCTTGTTAAAGTAAATTTGAGTGCCTAGTGCCCAAATCAACTGTGAAACTTTGTTTATATTTTGAAGTCTTACTTATGCATTCGTCAACTTACCCTGTTATTTCTCTCTGTCCACAGATCTTTCTCATAATAATAAAGTCCATCATTGATAGCCTGCTCAATTTCTTGACTAATTTTAACTCTTGACGCCCATTCTCCTGTTCTATCATGTCCCTCATGTTTAGTAATGCGTGTGCCGCCAGGTACACCTCCTCCATGTGAAGGTACTTGAGTGACAATCAATAACTTACTTATATCGCGATCGCTAAATTCGTAATCTGAATCTTCGTCGGACCTATGAGAACAAAATCTGCGTGATATATTTCTATTGGTTTTTGTTGATGCAAATATTAAAAAAAATAAACTGATGGCAATTCTCACTCCCAAAACACATACATAATTACATCTATAATATTGAGTTGAACTTTTTATAGATATTTTAACAGCATAAATAAGGTTTCAAAATTTAAACCTTGCAAACAATATCAAATTCCAATATATTATAATATATTTAGAAACCTATCAATTAGAAAAATCCCGACAGTGTAGTTTAGTATCATCTTAATTCACTGTTTTGTATCATCTTAATCCAACAAATAATGCACTGAAGATGGGTCAAATCAAGACACGAAAGTTATGTTTTCTGAATAAAAACATTTTCTTTCAATAAAACACTTTTTAATTAATGAATGGATACCCAAGAACAATTTTATCATATATATATATATATATATATATATATATATACATATATATATATATATGTTACGGTAAATGTGAATATTCCGGCGAATGTGCACATTAACCGGTGAATGTGCACATTTACCGGCTCATTTGGCGAATGTGAGTTCAACGCGCGGGTGAAATACTAAATCATATATTTATATTTATATTTATATTATTTAGTTTAGTCATATGTATATTAATATCCATTATTCATTATTCACTATTAACTATTAACTATTTATCATTAACAATTTATCTATTAATTATTATTAATATTGATTATGAACTATTAACTGTTTAATTAATAGCTATTAACAATTTAACCATTAACTATTACCTATTTAACTATTTTTAATTTACTATTTACTAATAACTATTCACTATTTACTATTAACTATTCAGTTATCACTATTCACTATTCACTATTTTACTATTCAACTATTTACTATTGATGAATGTAATGTATTGATGAATGTAAGTCTCATTCTCATAAATGTTTCTAACAGTGTCAACATTAGATCAGATCACAACCTATTACATGATTCATATTTAAATTTTTTACACTTTTTGACAAACAATTAATATCGACTTCCTTTTAAGATCAACAATTTAAGTATTCACACCCTAACATATAAAAACACACACATACAATCTCACATGTCTCGTTCAAGTGTTTACACGTGTTACAAAGGACACACCAGTTTCAATTAGTTAATTTTCGAAAGCCAATCGAACAACATCGAGAGAACAATATTATTTGTGTTTTCAAATAATAATTTTAAAAAAGACAAATCTTTTAGTAATTTTGATTTACAAAATCTAATTATTCGGCGGAAAATTAACTCACAAATTCATTTTTGTTAAAAAAGCTTGTTTAGTGAAAAAGTGCTAACAAATATTCAAACATACAGGTAATTAATTCAACTTTGTTATTAACCTTTTCTTAAAAAATTTCCATAACTTTCAAAAAATTTTCTATTATGTTTAATATCCGGTTCTGATAATCCACTCATTTATTTTTATCATTTTTATCATTTTCATTTTGAACATATCATATTTCTGTACATTATTATATTTTTTTTTTGCAATTAATTCATTATTTAAGAAAAATCTATTTTCTTTTCCTAAACATATTGTTTGCTAAAATCTCATCAAGATCATGTTTCTTGACAGATGTCCTGAAGATGGAACGTACCTAGTTCCGAAACGTCGACAATAAACAAATAATTAAATAAAGAAATTGTTTTTTTAAAAACTTTTCTTGTTTTTTATTTTGTATTATTTTTGGATTCTTGTTCGAAACTCTACAAAATATATATATATGTATATATATATATATGTGTGTATATGTGTACGTATATATATGTATATATGCGTAGGTTTATATGAGTGTACTTAAATATTTTTGACTATACTTTTTAATTATTTATTTAATTCTAGTCTCTACTACCTTTCCTATCTTTTATATTTGGTTTGTTGTTAAGTGTTGCTGTTTGTTAATTTTTCTCTTATTGTATAGTTACTTTACCAATCCACATAATATATGTGTATTGTATATTGTGTATAATTACCTAGATTTACTAATTTTCATACTGTTTTTAGATCCACTGATGATGACATTAAATTGAATGTCGAAACGTTTGGAAATAAAGATTATTTTATAAATCTTTGGCTTTTCTTTGTTTGATGTATCGCCCTCAAGAACTCACTCATATATTTCAACATCAAAATTAACTACTAAATCATATATATATATATATATATATATATATATATATATATATATATCTTATATATAAAATTCTTCTGTAACTATGTATGAATGGTTAACCCTCCTAAACTATAATTCGGATTTTCATGAATCTTCCTGAAGTTCGTTCGGAAAATTTTCTAGAATTTTTAGATTCATAGAAATATAGTTAGATTGTAGAAATAAATGGAAAAAATTACAAAAAACCGCTTATCATTGTTTGCCCTTGAAAATATTTAAGGCATGGTTTGACATTAAAACAAATGAAGAATGTCATTTGCCAAACATTTCCATTCACTTATAGGCTAAGACAATATTAAAATATAATATATTTATGATTATGAATAAGAAAAATGTAATGACTACATTATTATTGCCAAAAAGCAGATGAGATGTGCTAAAAATAAAAATAATAAAAGATTTGACGTCAACATCTGACAGGTGATGCAGTCTGCGCATGCGTCTGTCAGTGATCGCACATAAAACTTTGCCTATAATTCACTTTTACTGATTATTATTTTTTAACTTTTAAAGGCAGTCGTGTTTCGCCTTACTTTACTAAATCACGATACAAAAATAATTTACTTATTCAAACAATTATTTAGAAGTTTAATTGTGTCAAAAATTCATATGTTTGGCATTGTATACGAAATATTTACTCAAGACAATCGAGCATTTTGGGTCTGAATATTTTTAAGGTGCTCCAATTTGCATGAAATTTTGGAATTAGGTTCATCTTACTCTCAAGTTTAAAAGTAAAAATAATTTAGAATCATTTGCCACTTCGCGGGGGGATGACATCCCTTTTCAGTGGTGCAATTGTATCTCTTTCAAACTAACGTCGGGTATCGATAAAAGAACTAATTAGAAGAGAAAAATGTTTAATAATGTTTTTCAAAAAAGAAATTACTTTTCAAGTTACTGGCAACTGAAAATTTGTTGTTTTTTGCGTTTTTCATCGTTTTTTGCAAATATTTCTAAAAATATACATTTAAACGAAAATCATGTAATGAACAAAATTATATCAATTAATATCCTAATAAATCGGTGTTCTATAAATTGTTCTAGGAACAATATTAGGCTACATATGAAAATGTGATTTTATAGTACTCAAAATAAGCTTTAAAATAAGTACTTCTGCGTGTAAAATTACTGACCAATTATTGCTTTCTATTATTTTTCTGTTACACAACTATTGATAGTGTCCAACCAGAGTGTCTTTCGAGTCCCTCAATCCTTTGCCATTTCAAAATAAGAGAAGTTACGGTAAAATTTATGATAGAGAAAGTTGTAGCTCATTTAATTACCTTTAAAACAGTATTGCAAGTACTGATAAAAACAGAATTAAAAGAGTTATAATTCAATTAATCCGGTGGGTGGTGACGAAGGGCAAATTGTTTTCACTTCTGAACTTAAGATAAAGATTAGCCTAATTCCGACACACGCTTTTTTCCTCTCCATTTACTGCAATAATTTTGTTGATCGTAGGTTGAATAGAGCACATGTGATTAGGATTTGATCAATTAATTCACTTCAAATATAACCTTAAGTAATAATGTATATGAATTATTAGTGAAAAAACTTAATTTAGATCGTAAATTACTAAAAGCCAGTTAAAATATGGTACGTAATTATAAAAATTATAGGCAACATTATTGAAGCAATTATTTTGAGTAGAAAAATCCAAGGTGATATTGTACCTATACCGCGAATGCTATATAATAATTCTATCTGAATTTGTTATACCTTTTAAAAGACTTCAATTTTCAACACTTGTGTCTTATGCTATGACCATAAATCACAAAGGCAGACGATGATTTTTTGTTTGATAAATTATAATACTTAAATAAATAAAATATAATAAATAAAGAAAATCAATGTTTTAGTCGTGAATAAGCAAAAAATTATTTATCTATACATTCACATCTACAGGTATGACTGAAAAATTGTATAATTCTTGGCATTAAAATAAATTGAGCTATTGGAATTAAATTTGCAGTGTATAGTTTTTAATATACAATTTTATTGAACATTTTTTAATATTTGTTAAATAGATAATTCATACCGTCCCAGGGGGGGCGCAAAGCTATTTCAAAAATATTATTTTTAAATGCTGAGTAAGTGTCAAAAACAAATCAGCAAAATACGTGCAAGTAATCCACAATTTTAGCTGCAATTTTGCCAGGATAAATGTACTTTAAAATGTACTACTTTATAATTGTGAAGCACGTTGGCTTCAAAGACTGTTTGAGCTCAAAAAAGAAATTGCCATATATTTCTTGCTGATAACAAAATAGATGAAGCAGGCTTGTTTTAGAACACAAAGTTTCTCTCAAAATTTGCGTATTTAGTTGATATTTTTTGAAGACTAAGCGATTTAAAATTATCAATGCAAGAGAAAATATGTGCTGAAAAATAGGCTCAACCGTCGCATTAAATTTGTTTAATGTTGTGTTAACTATTATTCTATGATTTGTTTCCATTAAATTTATAATTATTTTTTCTTATAATTAATAGTTATGTTTGTATGTATATTTTATATAATATTTTGTGTTATTTGGCTTAATTTCAGTTAAGTATATTTAAATTAAATTATTAGAAAAATTAGGGGGGGGGGGCGCAATATTTTTTTCTGTCGAACGGGGGGCGCAAGGAAGAAAAGGTTGGAAACCACTGCATTAAACGTTTCGACACTTAATGTGTGTCATCATTCAGTAATCTAAAAACATATTACATAAATACAAAACTTGATAATAAATATATAAAAAGGAGAAAATTATGGATACCAAACCAGGAAAAACAACAGAAAAAATTAATTA